CCCGCATCTAGGAAAAAAAAGGAAACAATTAATAGAATGAGAAAAGAATACCCCTTCCCTTTCCCCCTCTGAATAAAGCAACAACAACCCCCCCCCTCCCTCCTTTCCACTAAAATATAATATAACATTGTGCTACAGATATCAGCTGCTTGCAAAATAGAAGAGTTCTTTTCAAGAAAAAGTTCAAAATTTCAATACCATTTGTGCCCAAACTGAACATGCCTCGTTTCCTTGTCTCCAGAATTTGTGCGTTAACGAAAGCTATAGATTTCTAATGGTATAACAATTTGCTTCATTACAAATTCAAAAGAAAACTAAATCATTTTACTATGTAGTGAAGCAATTTTCCACTTTTTCATTATGATAGGCCTACTAGATATAAAACAGGCAAGGCATATTTGCTTGGTTAACAAGAGAGATAGATTGTTTATTAGTTTGATTTTATCACTATAAGTTCTTTTTGGCATTCTAGAAAATCTGGCAATGGCCGGATTTGTTGTTGGTGTTTTTTTGGGACATGGATGATTACTTCCGAAAATAGAGGAGCGAAGGTTTCAGTTTCAGGAAAACAAACTTCATCAAGGTATGTCCAAATGAGTTTTCAAATGGCCCTTCCATGATGCTCTATTGAAGCTAAATATCAGATCTATTCTTTTTAGGCACGCTTTTGTTATGATGTATTGGATGCTCTGTGTTTAGACTAGATTTTAGATTCTATAGAGTAGTGTTGTTTTGTACAGAAGAGCTACGTAAACCATGGCATAGGATAGGCATAATAATGTTTCGCATGAGTGTGTGCTAATGTTATGTCATACTCATGTCCTGGATGTTTTCAACCTGTTTGATAGAGGTGCTTTCCTTTACCATGAACTTTTGATTTAGATAGATGATTCTAGATCTAGACTAGATCTAAGATATATTTAATCTTGATCCAGAATCTAATTCTAAAATGCAACTGTCCAGCTAAAAGTCTATTGACTGAGTAGTGATTGTTGTGTACTTTCGATTGTTGGTGTGTTGGCTGCTGTTTGGTAGATCTTTCAAGATTCTAAAATCTAAAAATCTAGAGATTCTAGATTTTAGATTAGATTCTGTGGTCTCCGTTTATTTTCCAAGAGTGGGATGAGGTAGTGTATATGATGTCTTGTGACTTGTGACTTGTCTTTGAAAGTGTGACTTTGTAAACTTTACTACTCTTTTACTTACTTACTTTGTCAGACTACGTGAATTTGATATATATATAGATCTAGATCTAGATCTAGAGAGATCTAGATCTATGAATAATATGATGTTTCTTGAGAGGCATCCGGGAATGGGAAATTTTGTGAACTTCTGTGACATTCGTGGGTAAGATTGAAGAATACCGGACCAGCGGACTGACTTTGCCTATCTCAAACTTAGGAATTCATAATTTTCCCGTTTTTAATATCTCTCAATGGAGAATCTCGGACCGGTAGGTCTATTCATTAAAATTTTGTCAGGGAAGAGACCCCCCTGAACCCCCCTTCCCCCCTCCTCCACCCCAACCACCCGCCCCACCGACCCCACTTTTTCTCGCAATAATATATGAGTGGTCCGGTATTCTTCAATCTTCCCCATTCGTGATTGCATTTGATGGGTATACAGCACAATGAAAAAAATTATCGAGCATTTTCATTACATTTTACCATGCGCAGTGGCTACGTTCACGGGGTGGTTTGCAGGCTACGTATGTTCACAGTGTCCTTAATATCTTGTTCACTTCACCATGTACCTTTTTCCCTTTTTTGCTTCTTCTTTTTGTCACCCCCTTCCACCCGTCTTCCCGCCTTGGTCTTCTTCCATTCTCCCTTTTTTCTTCGAACGACTTTTATTTTCAAATTGTTGAACGTTGCCGATTCCGCACACAGTCCCAGGAAGAGGATTGAAGTCGTGTTCCGCGCGCTAAGCGAGCAAGGCCTTTTGTCCACTGCTGCTGTTTTGCTGTGCTCGCCTTTGCCTTCTGTAGACTCCGTTGCATTCGGACCACCGCTGCACTATTTTTCACGCGAGTCCTACTGCTACTTCCTCATTTACTTTGAGCGACTGTAGCGTTTCAGTCATGCCTCTATATATGCCAATGGTGGATGATTGAGGACGCCATGAACGTAGCCATTGCATTCATTATATGAAGTGACTCTTTCTCCGAACAAGCATTTTTTGTATCGAAGTCAATTTCGAGAGCGAGAGATTTTTAAATGTCTGAATATTCAGATACTTTAGATGTGGTTGGGGCATCGTTCCCGTACTATACTTCATTTGAAAATGCTTTCAAAAGGTACTGCGGGAAAACAAGAGCTCGACCTTGGCTTTAAACCTGTTTTGCATTTAGTCACACCTGAAGCCTGAAGCAAAAACTAAAATCCTTTATATGTAAACCCCCAAAAAAGGAAATCCCTTCTCTCCCCCCCCCCCCGTTCACACCTTGCAATCACACGCGCACGCGCGTGTTCAAACACGCGCACACACACGCACACACACACGTGCTCGGGCCACTCCATTTGCAAACTATCAACAAATCTCAAGAACGGAAACTGTTCAGAGAAATAGAGTGTCAAGTTTATTTTCCTGAGCGTTCGGAGAAATAAAGGCCTTTGAATAATATCATATATGTATCATGTACCAATGTTATCAGGCAATGAAGGAGTTTTAAACATTACTGTCTCTGTGGCCAGTGTCATTTCAGTTTTATACTACATTGTGGGTGGTTGGCGGGTGCTCTGGTGTGGTTTGCTTCTTCTTTTCTTTATCTGTCCAAGGAGGAAATTTGATCCGTACACTTTGCAGCAGTCTGTCAAAATGATCTTTTTGAGAGATACTGAAAGTTTCAAAGAAATCTTCGCACTAGAAGTATTCTAAAATGTGAAGAATACAACCCCCGGGGTACAAAATGACTCCATGCGTACGGAAAGTGTTAAAATTGTGTTGACATGCAGTAAATTAACATATCGTGGGACGGCTGTTCAGAAGTACTTAGTCCAAAATTTTGAATAAAAAAAAATTGCAATTTCTAGAACGAAGTGTATAGACCCGGTAACCGGGAACAAAGTCACGAAGTATACACAGACCCGGTAGGGGAACTCTTTTGTGATTTCGGGAAGTTTCAGCGCTCAGACCCGGTAGAAATCTAGTGTGTGTGT